TTTTGCTTCTTTATCTTGGCTTTTCGTCATGATACTTTCACTTGATTCACGTTCCATCATTTCATTGAAATACGACCCACAATATGCCACAGAGTTTCCTACTTTCCACCCAGGAGTGCCCTCTTCGTTTTCAAAAACCGAAAACCTCATATAAAAGTAATTACCGCACGTCAAACAACTGTGTTTTGTCTTTTCAAAGAAAGAACTACAAATTCCTTCGTCTCCCACTATTTTTTTGTGCTGTTTTGGCTTTTTCGCGCATGGTATTCATAGAATTCCTGGCGATCTGTGGGTAATAAATGAATTATAATAATTTCCTATAATTCATGCATTAAGTTTGGCACATGTGAGATGCGACGTTTGAATCAAAAGTCGAACCTAAGTCGAATCTTCGACTGTTTCAGTCGCAGATACGGCAAAAGTCGCATTTCATTAAAAACAGTCGAATTTAATTGATTCAAACGCCGCACTTTACATGCATTTAACTCTCGCATTAAGTTTGGCAAGTGAAATTCGACGTTTGAACCGGGCCTAGCAACATTAAAAATTTGCAATTTACGAAACAGATTTCCATTTCGCAAATTTTAGATTTCTATCGCAAATTACAGATTTTCATTTCGTTTCGTTTCGTTCCGTTTCGCAATTTACTTGTACATCAGATATTCTTCACAGTCAGAGATTCTATCATACATGTAGTTTACAGCCGCAAGGTGATCGAAAGCGAGACAACGAAGAGTATCTTGTATAGTTAACCAGACATGCCGCATTGAGGGCACGAGTACTATAATTATAGGTTCCTGAAATTAGTAAACAGAACATTGCCATTTCTCCCGCTCACTCGAAGTTGTGATTTGACTTGAAAGAGAAACGATCAAACTCTACCTAATTGGCCGAGAAATTTGTTGTATCGACAGCAGATAAAGAAGTCGCATACAAAGTAAGTTTATAGGCAGCTGTGCCTTCAAAAGAACTCATTCGAAATGGAATTTGTAGGGTTAATCCATTGTAGGGTAGTCCTGGCCATTTGGGTAGTCATCGTCAGTGTTTTGTCCATCACCAAAGTTCGACGTTTAAACTGGGCCTTATAGTCCATTGTTCAAAACAATTCTTACAATTTTAGGCCAACCTCCGTCAGTATTTTAATGAACCTGCATTCATTTATCTTCACTAGTGTCATAACTAACAAACATGTCGAACGCAGTCAGTCCGCCATTCTATTAACTTCTGGCTTATCGAAAAATCACACCAAATGATTTCTATTATGTTGAATACAGTTTACTTTTTTAGGTTTGACGCTATCCACCAACTGCGTAAACGTAGTTGATTCCTTAAAGGGGTGCTTTTATTTTTCCAGGTTCCATGTTACACGCCATGTTTTCAGGCAGATTTGACACAAAATCCGGCGAGGATGGATCTTACTTCGTTGATCGAGATGGAACCCACTTCCGCTACATCCTGAATTATCTTCGCACTGGAAAACTCGTGTTGCCTGACGACAAAGTCGTCCGTAAAGAACTGTTGACAGAGGCTGAATTTTATCAAGTCGAAGGGATTATTAGTGAGATGAAAGCGAAACCATTCAAGGATTCAACAATTCTTTCATCAGAACAGTGCGATATACTGATCGACTGGCTAAAGGACACACGCGACAGCCTGAGTGATGACTACGTCTTGCTGTACAGAGCCTCTCGAAATGGCTGGGGTGCGTCCAACTTTCACTCCTGTTGTGATAACAAAGGACCAACAGTTACAGTGATAAAGAGTGGGAACTACATTTTTGGAGGATATACCGATGCGCAGTGGCAATCAGGTAAGAGGCCTTGCCTACTCTTTAAAAAGAAACGCTTTCTTTTACGTTGCTGAGAAGACATGACTTCATAACCAGAAAAAAGATAAAGATATTTTTGCGATGTTATATATTTGAAAGTTTATATGAATGACAGTAAATGTCAGAAAAAAGTATCCATAACCTAAAGTAATTTTCGAATGTTTAACTTAATATACCTTCACTGGATTCATCTTTAAGCGCGTCGCTTGTGATCCAGACAAGGAAAACTTCGTCTTCTTTTGATTCCACCATAACGGAATTTCCCAACATTCGAGGCACGCGCCTACACTTGGAGGATTCACAATGTGCTTCATGACTTTTTAGGAGAAAAGACATCCCATGACATTTGCAAAGATTCTGTCGAAAATAGCATTTTTCACAGAATTTCTGCGAAGTCCATGTTTGACTTGACATTTTTCTGGATTACGAAATTGAAACGTTACGTAACATTCAACCGCCTTTGCATCAACTGATTACCAGTGGGTCGAGAAATGCCTATTGTAACTTCAGCCACAACAAATTTTTGAGACTGTTATGATCACACCATCTTCACGCTTCGTTGCCATATCATTTCTATTTTAAGCTGTTAGCCAGGACCTGAAAACATATGTGTTTTGATTTTGTCTCTTTTCCTTTGCTGTACTTCAAGCAGACTTAGTTCAAATGACTTTCAAGACCGACCATCGGCAAATTTTCCCTGAATTTATTTAGCAAAGCCATAATGTTGTCCTGTTAAGTGACTGAGTGCGTGAGTAAGTGATCGAGTGTAACAATAGAATACGAACGACCACTTAGCCCACAACGAAGTCTGCCGAGTTCTACCCGATTTTCTTCGTTATTGGCTTTTGTTTGTTTCGGAACATCTTCGGTCGTTCAACGCTTGGTGGCTATTTCCTCAAATCGCTTCCAATGTTACTCGGAATTAGCACGTGATCACACTGTTTCCCAATGCAAGTTAGTGTTTGTTTCGAAAAACGACAGGAAACGATAAACATCTCACAATAATTTCAGGATGGTGAGTGAAATAAGGAAAGCTTTACCTCGTAGAAATGTTTTAAAAAGTGTGATCGGCGCATCATGAAAACTTAAAGGACAATTTTTTTCTTTGAAGAGAGAGATAATGTTACCCTTGAGAACTTTAAATCTGTTCTTTACGGTTATTACTCGCC